TTATAAGTTTTTGTTGAAATTCATCCGACTTTGCTTACAATCTATATTACTATATCTTTAATTTAAAAAATAAAATCAACCGCCTCTTGACCGGAACAACATGCTGATGGGCTTTGAAAATCATCCAAATCGCTAAATACTAGTTAAGTCAATTTTGCGTCAGATTATCGAAACTCAATCGAAAAATTCAAAAGTTTATAAGTTTTTGTTGAAATTCATTCGACTTTGCTTACAATCTATATGACTATATCTTTAATTTAAAATAATAAAATCAACCGCCTCTTGACCGGAACAACTTGCTGATGGGCTTTGAAAATCACCAAATCGCTAAATACGAGTTACGTCAATTTTGCGTCAGATTATCAAAACTCAATCGAAAAATTCAAAAGTTTATAAGTTTTTGTTGAAATTCATTCGACTTTGCTTACAATCTTTATGACTATTAAAATAATAAAATCAACCGCCTCTTGATCGGAACAACATGCTGATGGGCTTTGAAATCATCCAAATCGCTAAATACGAGTTACGTCAATTTTGCGTCAGATTATCGAAACTCAATCGAAAAATTCAAAAGTTTATAAGTTTTTGTTGAAATTCATTCGACTTTGCTTACAATCTATATGACTATATCTTTAATTTAAAATAATAAAATCAACCGCCTCTTGACCGGAACAACATGCTGATGGGCTTTGAAAATCATCCAAATCGCTAAATACGAGTTACGTCAATTTTGCGTCAGATTATCGAAACTCAATCGAAAAATTCAAAAGTTTATAAGTTTTTGTTGAAATTCATTCGACTTTGCTTACAATCTATATGACTATATCTTCAATTTAAAATAATAAAATCAACCGCCTCTTGACCGGAACAACATGCTGATGGGCTTTGAAAATCACCAAATCGCTAAATACGAGTTACGTCAATTTTGCGTCAGATTATCGAAACTCAATCGAAAAATTCAAAAGTTTATAAGTTTTTGTTGAAATTCATTCGACTTTGCTTACAATCTATATGACTATATCTTCAATTTAAAATAATAAAATCAACCGCCTCTTGACCGGAACAACATGCTGATGGGCTTTGAAAATCATCCAAATCGCTAAATACGAGTTACGTCAATTTTGCGTCAGATTATCGAAACTCAATCGAAAAATTCAAAAGTTTATAAGTTTTTGTTGAAATTCATTCGACTTTGCTTACAATCTATATGACTATATCTTCAATTTAAAATAATAAAATCAACCGCCTCTTGACCGGAACAACATGCTGATGGGCTTTGAAAATCATCCAAATCGCTAAATACGAGTTACGTCAATTTTGCGTCAGATTATCGAAACTCAATCGAAAAATTCAAAAGTTTATAAGTTTTTGTTGAAATTCATTCGACTTTGCTTACAATCTATATGACTATATCTTCAATTTAAAATAATAAAATCAACCGCCTCTTGACCGGAACAACATGCTGATGGGCTTTGAAAATCATCCAAATCGCTAAATACTAGTTACGTCAATTTTGCGTCAGATTATCGAAACTCAATCGAAAAATTCAAAAGTTTATAAGTTTTTGTTGAAATTCATTCGACTTTGCTTGCAATCTATATGACTATATCTTTAATTTAAAATAATAAAATCAACCGCCTCTTGACCGGAACAACATGCTGATGGGCTTTGAAAATCGCTAAATACGAGTCACGTCAATTTTGCGTCAGATTATCAAAACTCAAAAATTCAAAAGTTTATAAGTTTTTGTTGAAATTCATTCGACTTTGCTTACAATCTATATTACTATATCTTTAATTTAAAATAATAAAATCAACCGACTCTTGACCGGAACAACATGCTGATGGGCTTTGAAAATCATCCAAATCGCTAAATACGAGTTACGTTAATTTTGCGTCAGATTATCGAAACTCAATCGAAAAATTCAAACGTGTATAAGTTTTTGTTGAAATTCATTCGCCTTTGCTTACAATCTATATTACTATATCTTTAATTTAAATTAATAAAATCAACCGCCTCTTGACCGGAACAACATGCTGATGGGCTTTGAAAATCATCCAAATCGCTAAATACTAGTTACGTCAATTTTGCGTCAGATTATCGAAACTCAATCGAAAAATTCAAAAGTTTATAAGTTTTTGTTGAAATTCATTCGACTTTGCTTACAATTTATATGACTATATCTTCAATTTAAAATAATAAAATCAACCGCCTCTTGACCGGAACAACATGCTGATGGGCTTTGAAAATCATTCAAATCGCTAAATACTAGTTACGTCAATTTTGCGTCAGATTATCGAAACTCAATCGAAAAATTCAAAAGTTTATAAGTTTTTGTTGAAATTCATTCGACTTTGCTTACAATTTATATGACTATATCTTTAATTTAAAATAATAAAATCAACCGCCTCTTGACCGGAACAACATGCTGATGGGCTTTGAAAATCATCCAAATCGCTAAATACTAGTTACGTCAATTTTGCGTCAGATTATCGAAACTCAATCGAAAAATTCAAAAGTTTATAAGTTTTTGTTGAAATTCATTCGACTTTGCTTACAATCTATATGACTATATCTTCAATTTAAAATAATAAAATCAACCGCCTCTTGACCGGAACAACATGCTGATGGGCTTTGAAAATCATCCAAATCGCTAAATACTAGTTACGTCAATTTTGCGTCAGATTATCGAAACTCAATCGAAAAATTCAAAAGTTTATAAGTTTTTGTTGAAATTCATTCGACTTTGCTTGCAATCTATATGACTATATCTTTAATTTAAAATAATAAAATCAACCGCCTCTTGACCGGAACAACATGCTGATGGGCTTTGAAAATCGCTAAATACGAGTCACGTCAATTTTGCGTCAGATTATCAAAACTCAATCGAGAAATTCAAAAGTTTATAAGTTTTTGTTGAAATTCATTCGACTTTGCTTACAATCTATATTACTATATCTTTAATTTAAAATAATAAAATCAACCGACTCTTGACCGGAACAACATGCTGATGGGCTTTGAAAATCATCCAAATCGCTAAATACGAGTTACGTTAATTTTGCGTCAGATTATCGAAACTCAATCGAAAAATTCAAACGTTTATAAATTTTTGTTGAAATTCATTCGACTTTGCTTAAAATCTATATGACTATATCTTTAATTTAAAATAATAAAATCAACCGCCTCTTGACCGGAACAACATGCTGATGGGCTTTGAAAATCGCTAAATACGAGTTACGTCAATTTTGCGTCAGATTATCAAAACTCAATCGAAAAATTCAAAAGTTTTTAAGTTTTTGTTGAAATTCATTCGACTTTGCTTACAATTTATATGACTATATCTTTAATTTAAAATAATAAAATCACAACATACTGATGGGCTTTGAAAATCGCTAAATACGAGTCACGTCAATTTTGCGTCAAATTATCAAAACTCAATCGAAAAATTCAAAAGTTTATAAGTTTTTGTTGAAATTTATTCGACTTTGCTTACAATCTGTATGACTATATCTTTAATTTAAAATAATAAAATCAACCGCCTCTTGACCGATACAACATGCTGCTGGGCTTTGAAAATCACCAAAATCGTCATATACCGGTTAAGTCAATTTTGTGTAAGATCATTAAAACTTAATCGAAAAATTTATAGATTCTTGTTGAAATTCATTTGACTTTGCTTACAATCTATATGACTATATCTTTAATTTAAAATAATAAAATCAACCGCCTCTTGACCGGGACAACATGCTGCTGGGCTTTGAAAATCACCAAAATCGTCATATGCGTGTTACGTCAATTTTGCGTCAGAATACCAAAATTCAATTGAAAATTGACATATTTTTAAGTTTTTGATGAAAATCCATTTATCTTTTATTTGAAATTTTAAAACCGTCCTTCCTGCGTTTCTTTGCTTCTTTTAATCCGGCATGTCTTTTTTTATGATTGTTTACCATATTTTAACAAGACAAATCATTGGGAACATTCAATTTTACGCGTGGGTATTTTCTGTAATTCTGTCAGTCTCAATTTCGTGTTTTGCTGCTAGCTTCCCAGAGGTCAATATAGGGCAGTATAGGGATGTTTGCCCGACCTTTGACCCTCGAAATTACATTCCATAGTTCAGTCAGAGCCATTATATAACCGTTATATAATGGCTCTGGTTCAATGAAGAAATTTTTGATTTTTAGCGTAAAAGAATTATCCTTGGGTATGATTTACATATATATCCCGGACGAGTGGTCGTGGTTCGCAATATGAATACGCCGTCTTATAAAATTTCTCCTCCATAAATATAAAAATGTTATCCTTTATTAAAAACGCAGAAACGTGAGATCACCACACCCAATTGACCCTCGAAATTCCATTCCATAGTTCAAGGAAGAAAGTTTTGATTTTTGGTATGAAAAAAACTATTCCTGGGGTAACATCATCTCAATGGGTAACATATGTTCTGAATGACATTGTTCACGACGTTCTAATTCGAATCGTGCTAAGCGTTAGTTGGAAATACGCTCGCTGCCGCACCTCTGGATGTAGGCCATGGGTCGAAGTGTGTAAAAGATTGGCAATATCTTTTGAACCGATCTGTACGAACTGGTAACATCATTTGCCGTGCAGCTGAGCCATCATATCGACTTTCCGATCACGTTGACGTTTTCCGTTTCAATGCTGCTAGTTTAATTTATATTACGACACGCCTATGTTTAAAAATAACAAAAGTAGAGAAGGCGTTTTGTTTTGACTACATAAGTTGAGTGCCTAGTTAGCTTCTCAGTATAAATGACATCATTTGAACTATTGTTTTTCGCTAGTCTTCATTTGTTAATTATTTCCAAGCAATAATTATGTTAAACTCTACCTTTCATTTACTTCAAAATCATTCCGTAATGAGTCTACATAGCTCGAGGCGATAGAACTATTTTTGAAGGTTTGCTTGAACATTTTCGTATTTGTGTGAGCAAATTAATCGTTGAGAATTGTCGAGTTCCGCGGAAAAGCTGGTATCGTTTGTGTCAAATCTTTAATTTAAAAAGAACCAGTGTTTATGAGTACTATAGTTGGTAAAGAATAATTTCCACCAGAATAAATTTAACAATATTCGAGGATCAAAATTAGAAACGAGAAAAGTTATGAAATGCCATGAAGTGACGAAATTGGATTGAATGTTTTTCCGATATGTTTACAGTCAGGTAAAAGTTCGTATTCCACCCAGCGCAAAAATACATGAAAATTGCAAGCTACGGTATTTGAGACTAATAGTTTGGCAAAATAACCAGGAAGTGCCTAGACCACCAAAAAAGGGTTGACACAAAAATATAGCTAAATTTTAAAGATATTCAAAGGTAAGCGAAATACAAACGTCAGTATTCGTGAATGGACTGATAGTTGAGAAAAATAATCTACACTACCAAGGTTTTTAATTTAAATGTTACAAAACATTATTCCGGTACAGTGATTTCCCTACACCCCCCCTATAGGGGGTGAACACCCCCCCTAAAATTTCAAACACCCCCCCTAATTTTGAGGTGCGATTCCACACTGAGGGGTTCTAAACCGCAGTCTGCGGGCCAATTACGGCCCGCGTGACCATTTAAAATGGCCCGCCGAACTTGAGTGAAATAGTTTAACCCTTCATGTGGTACCTTTTGAGTTTTAGATACCGTCTATTGTTACATCATTATCACAGTTTAAGCACGTTTATTTCGTAACAATTGAATTATTCCGGTATCTTATGTATAGGTATGGGTATTATGATTACACACTGCAGTATTTTAGATATCAGCCGTATATTAAGAAAGCTTAAAGATGTCACAAAACGAAAACTAGGCACTGAAAACAGACGTTTTTTAGATGAATGACAGCGTTTTTATTTCTTTATTGAAAAGAATCAAACTTCAGCGATTTGTCTTCTTACCAACAAAATATTTCAGTTCTGAAGAAATACAACATTATGCGACATTATGATCAGTTGACGAGCGTATTTCAAAATTTAATTCATACAAAAGTCAAACAAACATGTTCAAAAAAATTAGAAATGTGTAACAAAACTAGCCATTCATACAATGACAGATGAGCAAGTAACTTCATTAGTCACTATCATTTGCAAATTACTTGTTGAAACGTAGTAGTATATATTTACGGTTGAAAGCCGTGCTTGTTATCTATTCCCCGGGAATTCTATCAGCTAAATTTTATAATTATTGATTTTATTACATAACAAACTGCGATGCTAGGTGTATCTAAAATCGAGCTTAGAGCCTATTTTGGTGCCTATTTCTCAAATTTTTCTCAGGGCGCTTAAGCGCGCCCTGAACCCCAGCCGTGTCGTCCCGCACTTTTCTTCGCTCCCCTATTCTGGCCCTACAATTTCATTCTGCTGTGGATTTTGGCTCGCTGTCAATCAACTTGGGGGGGCTCCCATGTACATCGTCTCTTAAATACATACCATTTTTTAAGAATACAAATAGCCTAGTTTTATTTCTGATAGCAAATTATTCACCACCCCCTAAATTTTGAAACACCCCCCCTAAAGAGAAAAGCTGGGGAACATACTGTTCCGGTATATATGTATAGATTAGTGAAATGACAATACAGACTGTATTATCAAGTTGCATATTATTTATGTGTGTCCATTGAAAAATCATATGTGAACGCATATGAACACGCTAGTCCTATGACACCGGGTCAGTGCTAGATTCGCCAATGGGCAAGGTGGGTACCTCAAGCTTCAAGGGGCCTCGACATTCAACTGTTATTCCTTTTTTAGTCGTTTTTAAATATTTAAGTCCTCGAATCGGAAAATAATTCATTGTTTCAAATTTTTTTTTCAAACTAACATTTATATATTTGTAAATCGGGTTAATGTTTCTTGTCGCAAGTATTTTCCGTTTAAAAAGTTGTAAATTAAAAACGGCCGAATGAACGATTTTTGTAAATTTGAAAATCTCTATCTCTTGACTTGGCAAAATATGCTAATTTGAAATAATTAAACCGTTTCTACCCTGATAATGCCGTTATTTTTTAAAAGAGAGAGAGTTTAGAGAGAGAGTTCATTTGTTTTGTCAACCAGAAAACATATACACAACAAAAACATAATTAATAAAAAGCGAAACAGTTCTCGGTATAGACTGGGTGGCAACGATACGACCATACGGTCATCGGAGTCTGTTACCACTTACCACCCAACATTAATATCAATAAACATGAATAAAAAATGCTTCAGATATGTTTTATCATATTTTAGACATGTTGCACACTTGATCAAGTGTGGTATTGGTCAACTTTTACATGAATATGTATTTTTGAGTAAATGAATGCATCAATTGCGTGGAATTGGGTTTTTAAAGTTGAAGGATACACAATAACTTTATGTGTAAATGGTGGAAGACTTTAGGCAGCATATATATAAAGACATTAAACAAAATCATTACAAAAACAAATCATTACAAAGAATGATTGAAAGAAGATTATTTGAAGAATGATTGAAAAGAATGATCATATATGTCCTATATGATATATAGCTATACCAAAATTATTTAATTAAGAATATTCGATTTTTTTTAAATTATTTTCAGATTATTTCTATCGTGGACCCGTTCATTACATAAATTCATTATTTATTTTCATATAAATTCTTTTTTATATTTTTTTTATAGAAAATTAATACGAATCTAATCTTGACAAATAACGTTTTATAATGAGATGACAATGAAGAGTTACAAAGATCATATCATCGTGTTGTTTGTACTCCAACTATGGGCAGGTATTGACGCCCAGACCACGAGCATTGTGAATAACTTAACAACGATTCCAGAGGTGTCAAATACAAACAACGCAACAACTAACGCGCCGCCAACAACAGCAGAATTCATACCCAGGGAAATAACGGATATTACATTGCCACCTCCAAGAAATTTGCAAAGGAGAACTGCCACAACCACAACGCTGATTTTAAGTTTTCTTCCTCCCGCTAATTACCGGAATGATGCCAGATATTCACATTTTCGCATTGACTATGAAAGTGACACTGAAAAACAAAATATTGAAGTCGATAAAAACCTCGGAGGTTCTAGAATCATCGTGCCTGGATTACAAAGCGGTGTTTTATACAAAATTAGCGTCCGCACTCAAGGAAAAGATTCACTTGGAAATTATCTTTTGTCACCAGTAGCGCAAACCATCAAGGCCAGGACCATCCCCCCTCCTATTTCAAATTTAAGAATCGTTTCTATGAAAAATCGACCAGATGAAGTGTATGTCGTTTGGGATGGATCTCCCACCCCCATTAATGGCCCAAAATATGATATTTTCACTTTAACGTACAGAATTGTAGACAAACTCACAAGTACACAAGCTTTTAAATATCGAACTCGTCCTATTGACATTCCTCATAAACAGGCTAGTGCATTCATTTCGTCATCTGCAACAAATGTTTCTCAGGCCGTGCGAATAGAATTAGGAGCAACATACAGCTTTTCTGTTGTTACAAAAAGTTTGGGAGAAGATCCAACGACAAGTTTGCCTTTGAAAATACGGTATGAGTTTAAGGTACCTGGCCCGGGTGAAGCAGATGTAGTTAGATACGACACAACATCCATACTTTTCGGTTGGGAAGATAGTTATGACATCAAAGATTCTGATGTCATCCTTTCATACTCACCGTTCGGAAAAGATGATTCGAAAGAAAAAGTCATAAATATTTCAAATAAAGTACAAGAATATAACATAACTGCTCTAGAACCAGGTGTGTTATATCTTATTTCAATAAAATATATTCGAAATAGCGTTCCGTTTGGAAAAGTAAGCGAAGCAACTGATTTGTATGCACGCACAGCTCCATCCTTACCGAACGAAATATTCATAGATAATATCACAACGACACAAGTTTTTCTAAACTTCGAATTTCTAAATATGAATGCTTCTAACGTAGTTATCATTGAATACGAGCTAATTAGATCAGAAAGACGTTCGTCACCAATTTCCTACAATCTTCAAGAAGCTACGAGTATACAAATCATTGGTCTCGAACCCGGACAGCTTTACCGAATCCACGTCACAGTTTCTACGCTAGAACCTGTAAGAACGACGTCTTCAACCAGTATGCTGACTAGAACAGTGCCGATGCCACCAAAGAGTTTCAGCGGATACGGGAAACAAGGAAAAATTTTACTCAATTGGGAAAAGCCAGATACATTGGAAACGCCAACCTTCTGGAGGTATGAAGTCGTCTACCACCCTGTCTCGGACTCGCTTAATGTAAATCGCATTTCGGTGTGGAATCGTGATGGTGCTCAACAGATGACACATTCCTTAGACAACCTTGCTGCAGGGACGCTTTATAAAATACAAATATACTGCGAAGTTGGAGACAATAGGGAAAACGATCGAAAAGCTCGCAGTGTATCATCAATCCCGCTTGTTCTCTATACTCAACCACAAAATCCTATTCTTACAGACTTGGTTCAAGTAACTCTTTCTCAGGTCAAAGTACAATGGGCTGCAGTGAATGTGTCAGTTGCGAACATGGACTACTATTTACTTAATTTAACTCGCATATATAAATCTAACAGTGCGATAGAATTTCAGCCAGAATTTCTCTCCTACAAAATCCACAAACAAGAAACTGAAAAAGTATTGAAACTCAGCCTTGGGTCAACCTACCGTATTGTGTTGACTACTGTAGTGGGCGAAGGAAATTCATGGATGCAAAGTGTAGTAAATGTAAGTAATTCAAAATTATATGATACCTGGTCTCCGTACGACTCACATCAATTATTTCCTCGGCTTGTATGGAGATTTTCGAACTGTCTACGACAAGGAAGAATTGGACCTACTCAAGTATATTGCAATAATGCATACAGAAAAACTTCCTTGGATAAACTTACAACAGTAGAATTCGGTATCCAACACTGGATGGCTCCAATTCAAGGTCTCTATCGTATTACAGCAACAGGTGCAGGGTATGAGGGGCCGGGAGGAAAGGGCGCTACGGTCTCGGGGCTTTTCCACCTGCTTGAGGGTGCAAAACTTATGATTGCCGTTGGACAACAGGGAGAATACTTTGGTGACATGACCCAAGGAGGGGCCGGAGGAAGTTTTGTTGTAGCAGGTGATGGTACAAACGAGCCTATAGTTATTGCTGGTGGCGCCGGAAGCGCTTTTTGGGGAGCATCGCCATCTTCATTATCAGATGGTAGACTGAACCACACTGCCGGAGACGCTTCAGCCACTGGACAAGGATTTGGTAGTGGTGGTAAACAACAAACATTGGGACCTGGACTACCGGGCGCATCAAACACGGCCGGTGGAGCAGGTTTTCATGGTATTTCAAGAAGCCTTGTTAATTTTGGAGACTCTGCTCTTCCTGCTGTAGGATTTTTACCATTTGGTAATGATAAAAGCGTCAACGACACAGAAAGGCAATTATATCAATCTCTTGCTGGTGGCAGATACGATATAGCAGATGGGAGATATTCTGAAGGAGGTTTTGGTGGTGGTGGATCAGGCTATATTACTGCATCAGGTGGAGGAGGGGGGTATACTGGTGGTGGAGGGGGTTCTTCAAATGGATTTTCTGGTGGTGGAGGAAGCTACATAAAATTTTCAGGCGGAACACAGTATGCGGAAATTTTTAACGATAAAGCTGGAATGGTGGAAATAACATTTGTTGGCTTACCGGTTTCTTCGCCTATTCCAGTTACTATGTATTTAATAGTGGCGTTTTTTGTGGGAATTGGAATGACGTTGTGTTTTGGAAGTCTTTTATGTTGGATAGATAAGTGTGGCAGGAAGCGCAATTCTGAACCAGAGAATATGAGAGAAAAACCGGAAATTCTTCATTTACATGAAACAACGGTACACGTCACCGACGCATCTCCCAGCACCTCTGGACTCTACGTTAGAAACATAAACGATCAGGAAGATTCAAATTATCGTAAATACAGCGAAGTGGACTCAGAAATGTATGTGCCTAATCTGAGAGTCGCCATTCCTGACGCGCCACGACTTGCTGAAAGCGAAGAAAGTTGGGGTAGTCCATTAAAACCAACTGATTACGACCCCAATGAAGACAGCGAGTTGGATGATGAAGATATTCAAACCGAATCTTCTGCATCGCCAGTTCCTTCAATAAACACTGATCTGGGAGATATAACACGAGATATCTACGCCTGGGATATTACTACTGTCGATGATGAATCGGAACCCTCTGAAAGCGAGGATGAAAGTCAGTTTTCCGAGCAAGAAACGACGGATGAGGTTTCTTCACTTCCACCGCCACCCCCACCTCCTCCTCTTGAAGGCCTTCATACCAGCGAACAGCAAGAAAATTTTAGAAATAGACTTCAAATGTTCCATCAGATAGAGAACAAAATGTCTTTCTGATTTTATTTGGATTTTAATTTCTGTCCGTGTTTTCGTACTTTTTTCGTATCAAACATTTGTAGAAATGAATTTTGGGATATGAGTTAACAATGAGAATTCTATTTATACTCACAAATACAAGCACAACATACTATATTCTCAAAACAAGTATTTGTAATATTAACGACATTAATTAATGATGTTTAATTTAAAGTATAGATAAATTCTTATTCCTTATTAGTTGTTCAAATATTACGGTTGGTGCAACAAAGCATATCATCAGAACCGCGTGGCCTGTCGTTTGAAAATAAAAACGTCATCCAAGGCTCAATTTGTCATTACCGTGTGTAATATTTGAATGTAAAATGCAAAGCCAAATTTTATGTTTTCGCTTCCTTTCAATATATGACAATTTGGGCACTCTTATCGCGAGAAATTTTACTCATATACGAACTGAGTAACATACTAAAGATCCATCTCAAAATACGCCATATTTGAAAACTTCGAAATGTTTTCATATACTGTAAAAATATAAGGAAAGTGGATATGAAATGCTCAAATTTCACTACAAGATATGTAATCCGCTATTACCAAAACATAATATATTTACGTCATCAGAGTGTCGTCTTCGCGGGTTAGTTCACGTCACTACTCACGACATTGAGTACTCAGTACTCATCACTATTAGTACTCAAATACTGCTGTTGTAAGCTTTCTAGCAGCATAGAAGCCAATATGTTTCGCTTGGGAAATTTCAATAATAAATTCAGAATCTAAGAATTTGTCCTCAGAAAAGTATTCCAGAAAATACCTTTAATCGATCAAATCCTTTTTATCAGTAATTCCAGTAAACTAGCACAGTACAATGGAACCAGTAGAAAATTTGCTATAGGGAATTTAGTTGAGCCAGTGTGTTTCAATTTTTATTATTGCTAATATGTCCATACCTTCGTATTCGTTTTTAAATTACTTGGGTAACTTCCCAAGCGTGTTCGAAGATTTTTTGACTTGTAGTCTTTGGTTTATTGCGTGAGTATTAGATCACGATTCCGTAATTTAGGTAAAAGTCTTATACAATAATACTTATTATTGAGAGATTTAACAAAATGTTCTCTCAATATTTGTGACCCTGCTTCTTATGTTGTAAACCATCAGAAATGTAGATATCAATATTTCAGAAATACGTGGAAATATCGACCAAAAATAGTAAAATGTATAATTTTCTTGTAATTGTATCCAGTCAATCAAGGTTTGATGAAGCTTTATACCTAACTAGAGTCTACATTAAGTAAAATTCAAAACCTATCCTTCTCTTTCTAAAAAGCACGCGTTTTACCCAGTATTCAAATTATAATTTTTTGCTTATTTGTTTCGTTTAAAAATCGTTTGTTGTCAATCTGATGAATATCCGTTTATTTCTCGTCGTAGAAAGTTTACTCAAAATTGACATTATCGGGTGAAGCGACAAGCGAGACATCAACATATAATGAAACTGGGGCAACGATATAAACTTTCTTTATTTCGTGATATTCAAAAACTAATGTAACCCACACTATGCCTTCTTAGACGAAATATAAAATTAATAACACTTTTTACTCCATAGTATTACTCCATCACAAGAAGTTGTCACACAATTAACACACTCAAGCACGATAAATAAAATTATACTGAACGCGAATAAACCTTGTGCCAACAGTTAGATTGGCATAATATTCACCTCATCTCCAGCGTTTATTTTGTAATAGTGTTTGTCACATTTAAAACAATAGTAATCTGAAATTTTTTTATAATTATTTGTATATCTATCTTTGTAAATATTGTATAGTATGTTAGTATAGAATTTCGAATCGATTAATGGCGCAAAAGACAACTGGTGATACAAGTGCCATAAAACATATTGGCAACGACAACAATCCGAAAACGAAAAGCCTTAATATGCATGTGCTGGTTTCCTGGTTTGACAAAAGCAATAAGTTTTCTCTCTCATTTCCCCAACGTAACGCGACATCGACTTGTTCATTTCCCTAAAATAGTATAATCAGCAAGATGTCGAAGGTGATGTGGGCAAGTGAAAACGAACGTTTTCACTCAGACAGATTTTGATTTTAAATGGTTTTAAACACTAGCTATTTGTCAGATTTCAGTATATCGGTGTTTCATTTATGGCGGTGGTTCTCAACCTCACTAGCGATACGTGGGAGATTTTCAAAAGGTACGCGAGTAGCTTTGATTTATTGGAACAATTGACTACAGCATCCTTGCGTAATGCGCATACCGATCCACCTGCGCAAAGGCATATAGAGCAAGGGAAGGTAGTTAGTTTCACCAATGACATTAAACAACATGATGCGCAACTCCGGCATTTTTGGCCGAAGATCGTATTCGATAGCACGCTCCAATGCACATACTTGACGAGACGAAAACGAGCGGATGTGTGTTGCTTTCAAGGCATAGCACGAATGGTGTTCGAGCCTGCTTCGACAATTGTTGTGGTTTTTAATGATATGTAGAAAATTGAAGGTAAAAAGAAATCGGAAAAAAGTAAGGTAAATACTATTGTTGTATATCACACCCGGGCATCGCACTGTTAAGTACATGCGGGAAAGCCAGCTTTTGTCAAATACTACGAAGTTTATAATTCAGTACGGTACGTAGTTGGCCATCTGCCGAAATTGCATATTTACTTACCCCTTGTGGTTTCAAATAGTTCATGCACCTCCATTTAGATTTTTTTAATCAGTGAGGATATATACTTATTGCTGTAACATACTATTGCTCATTCACTTTTATTTGCGTATTGAATCAACGGGTTAACAAGTTCACCTAAAATTTCACTCATACCGGTCTATATTGTATAGTCTGATCTCTCAAGTATTTGGAGCCACGAATGCTTATAATTTTCTGACTAAACCCCTTTATTAGTTGGTTTATATACCAAATTCAGTAAAACATTTTTTACAAAAAAAATAAGATATTGGGTTTATTAGCTTTTTCATTCTGAATCATATAGACTGCTTTATTTATTCTTAACGAAAATTAATACATCTCCTCTCCTACAGATGTGAAAGTTGTGGACAGACCTGTCTAAGCATTGTGAGACTCCTGCAGCACAAGAGGCAATAGTGAGTATATCAATCAAGAAATTAGGCCGACATAAAACAAAACTTTCAACTATTCGTCTAACCTCAATTTCCTATTATTTATTCACAGGACAACTGTAGCTGAAGGGGAGATATCAGAAGTCTGGCGACATATCAGTGACAGTTTGATTCCAAGAAATATGATTAGAATACTCCATAAATGTTTGCAATAGAAGAACAACCTATGGAGGAATGCAAAGACATTTGACCCTCCGGTAAAGTTGTGTATGGCCCCTACATCCTGCAGGGCTTGAGGGAAATAACTAAAAATTCCAAAGCGTAAGATTGCATAAGCGGTCTTCTTTGTAAAAAGGCACAAAACATGCCAGACATACTTAAAACAGCTTTGAAAAATGAGGATTACGGTTCACTGACTACACCTGTGTTATATTTGGTTCATCAAATTTTGGTAGTACTATAGAAGAAATTCAGGAAAGGGTATAATCATGATTCATGATAAAATAATGTTATATATTTTAGACAACTTCAATCTAGACCAGGGATGTCAAACTCGCGGCCCCAGAGAACTTCCAGTGCGGCCCTCGAACGCTTAACAATAATTGTAATAGTATTTTGGAATTTTTTTTTATTTAATTGTAAAAGATTTTTCAAACCTTTTAAAGTGAAATTGAATATTCACACAGAAAACAATTTACTGAAAGTAGTTTTAGAAAGTTAATTTTTTTTTGTTCACATTTTGACTCAATTAAGAATACACATCAAGCTAGCAAAAGAATACTGAATAAAACACTTGAGTGATTAAATTAAAGTACACGAAGAAGGTGGCATTTTCGAAGAAAATGGGAGTTGCAATATTTCTGCATTTCACAAAATTCTGAAGCACATTGTTAAATTTGTCATATTTCCATCAGTACAATGAAAAAACACAATAAGCTCAGCAGTCAATATGACAAATTCGAAGACCAACTCCGAACAGAAATTTTCCATGTGTTTGTATATTAATATAAATATACAACGACTTAGTTACTAAAAATCAATATCAATAATAATTCAAGCAATCCTATGCCATGCAATGTAGCGTGAAATGTCTTGTCGAAAAAATCTGTCATTTTTATTTTTACTGATCTATACATGAAATGATAAAAGTAACTTTTTTGCATTACTGGAATTAATTAAACTTTTGCAAAGATACAGATTAACCCATGATCATGTGACCTCGTTAGTTAGAGTTGGTACTATAAAATCATTTCAGCCTGGCCTTAGTATGCTGGTGACACAAAGAAGATGCCAAACGTCAGGACAAATGTAATTAAAAAAACATTGAGTTTATACTGTAGTATTTTTGTTAATTTTAGGTTCATATATTTAGATTAAGTCATTTTTAGTGTATATTTTATTCTTTCCTTAACCAAGGCTTGTTCAAAAATGATTTTGATGGTTGTACATGGAATTTTATGATTTTTTGTAATAAATACAGTAACTTGCAATAATAGTGGAATGCAAATATTAATATGTAATTGCATTTGAAATTAAAGAAAATAATAAAACTTAATCCAACTGATTAGTTGCATCACAATATATGTCACAAACTAAAACTATCTAAAAAATATCTCTCGAGTATACATTATCAAAAACTGTTTGCGGCCCTTTTTACAATTTCCAACATGCAATGCGGCTCTCGAAACCCATGAGTTTGACACCACTGATCTATTCTAGACGATTCAAGCATTCCTTTGGGAAATAATATCACTTCAATTAAATTGAAAAAAAATCTCGCTATATTAAATACAAAACCGTTGCTATCATAAAGGTAAACCAATTCAGCCACTCGGAATATATTGGCCTTCACAAAGCAATGGAGGCAGAATTGAGAGTTCATGAGCTATGAACTTTTGTTCTTTTCTTTGTCTTGAACTTTTCATACGCCACAGCCTCTATTAATTTTTTTTTTAATTTTAATTACCATGTGATGGTCATACATACTGTATCTTTGTATTTTCTGTCATGATGTATTATCTCAATGTGTCAAACTTTTAATTAGTGTGTATATTTTGCTTTCAGATGACATGAATGTATTGTCTTGCTTATTACCTAAGCTTGGAGTATTGACAAGAAAAAAGTGCCCGTAAATTACGTAAAAAATGTTTAACTCTTTGATATAATCAGAATTCACATGTAATATGAATTATAAACAGCCAACAATCAATGAAAATTATATGCAAAATTCCTCAGATTGAATTTGTCTTCTAAAATCGGAGGAAGGCAAAACATATAGGTAGTCTCCATTCACACAAGTCTTTCAAGAAGACTTGCTCGAGACAAACTAAATGAGCATCGTCAGGTGATTGGTAAGGCTGCAAGTTGAATCAGCCCTGCAATCTCCTGCATAGAAGATAATATTGATTAGCGGGCTATGAGCTAAATTCCTAAATTTAGACACAAACCTATCTACGAGGCATTATGTACCAGTAATGTTACCTACGATTAACTGAATATGTCTAATAAATTCACCTACTAAAACAAGTTCGATAGGTGCAAACTTTGTGTTATGGAATTGTATCACAGCACATTTAAGAGAAGTAAAAACAGTTTTGCTGTTTTGTATGACACCCTCTTTAAATGAAATTTCAATGTTTAAGCGCAAACATTAAAATTACTAACTTTGAACTTTGTCATTATCTGCAAAATGTTTCACACAAATCTTTACGCTATTGCGTTTGTAATATTCTCTGATAAAAAAAACGTCTATGATGTTCAGAATTACTCTTTACAGCTTGTCTGCCATTCCAGCTTTCCAAATGAGCAAAACTTCTCAGATATAGAGATTATTTTCTTTCGTTACAGGCGCAAAAAGGCAGGTACTACACGTAAAGAAGACGCCGAGTAGCAAAAGCAAGCGGAAAACCGTCGCGAAAGGCGACGAGAAATATGTGCATTGGAGCGTATCATGAAAAACAATCTTTCGCATGTAGTCTTATGGATTGACGTCAGAGTTGCCTATCATGTTGTTTAATGTCATTGGTTTCACGCAACCTCAACTGTTAATTAACTTTTGAGTTGGCTAAAATATGCCGACAACGCTTCACACTGTATGTATTCGCTGGCGGCGCTTATAGCTCTACGAATCCTTATCTTCAGAGATCGCCCTCGCCCGTTACAGCGCTACTACCAACTGAAAACGAAACGAGACGGGCATGTCCACGTTCGTCTTGCGTGTTACGTCACAATAACATATTATAAAATTATCCAATTCACCAAGCATTGATACATCTCTCAAATTATAAATTTATTCCCTCATTGCATTTCAAAACATTCCATTCGGATATTATGTGCGCTATTGAACCATTTGCACTTAGCATTAACTTTTCTGCGTTTGTTGCCGATTGTGTAATTATAATTGAATAATAGGCTCATTAAATGAGTAATTACAAATTATATACTTGCTAGGTTATAATTTAGTCTACACGTGCCTCACAATAAATAAATAATATAATCGTCAAAACAGTCATTTTGTTACGATAATTCAGTAACGCGTCGCGGGCCGTAGGTTGCCGACCCCCGGCATACACATTACAAAATACTCCCATAGCGCAATAAAAGCGTTGTCGGTGGTACACGGCCAGAGTAAAAACACTGAAATGGCAGGCAGTCAGTTAAAGGTTAAGAACCATGATTCGTTCATGGCAATATATATAACAACAGAGCTACGCTCAAATATATGGACACGTATCGCCTCATAGTGGCAAAGTTTGATGGTGTCATAGCACATAAATAAGAGTAATAGCCTTCTAGCGAAAAATATAATATTTACTCACTGAAAATTTCAAAGCAATTGGTCCACTAGTCAAAGAGAAAAGCATTTTTTTTTCTAAACGATACGAAGAAGACCAACAAGAACAAGATTACCAAAACTATGAAAACGATCCATAGGTCCACTCACGTGTCCAATAATAATGAGATGGAGAAAATTCCCAAGATGTCTTTTTTCAATCTTATAAACTATGAAGAGTAATATCAATGTGGACAGGTCGCGCATTGATGCACATGGCGTAGCCGCAGTTGTCCATTTATCTCCTTATCGTTGGACAAGCATGACGGAATAACAAAAGTGATCCGCTTTATTTGAAAGTAAAACAGCGCAATTTTTAGTAAACTATCAGCAGCTTAGCAAAACGGGCCAAATGTACATTTTGTGCCAAAAGTTGTTCTGTTTAGGAATTCTTGAGGGCAGAACGAGACATGTAATTATGGTTGTTGTTTTGCGACAGTGGTGTAGGAGTTATGAATGACGTCATTCGTGTTAGCCTCGATCATCATTTGTATCCTTTTTTGGAGTCGTCGTGCAGCGCGATGTTCGCTGCCAAAATAGTTCCATGTTGCTATTTGCCATACTTGTATAAAATGAGCAATAGTCATCCAATGAAATAGTAGAACTAAACTGACAGATTGTAAAACATCTGATAGGTACCGTAAAACATCTGATAGGTACCGTAAAACGTTGCACATATATCACCAGTATCTGGATATACGATTTTGCTAAAAATACAGAACTGCAGAAATAGGCCTGCATACCTGTCGATATCCTACAAATACAGAAATGTAATGATGTCCGATGTGGGACTATCTTAGGCTTGTTTCAGACATAGCAGGTCACTTCAAAGATTACCTGTACGCTACCTACGGTAACGTACCGGTATACAGGTATATGGTAGGCTATTTCTCACTCTTCATGGTACCGGTACCGTATATCTAGACCAGGGTGGTCCAAACCCAGGCCCGCGGGCCACATGTGGCCCGCCGCTTTATTATCTGTGGCCCGCGTCACATTCGGAGAGTACCTAATCGAAAAATCGCATTTTGTGTTTTTTGTAATAATATTAATCAGAAAAATCTTTTGACATATTGTTACATCAATAATGTCATTGAATTGACTAGTGTTATGGCTAGCTGATGCAACTAGCGAAGTTGAATGATTTGCTTGGCAGTCTGAATTATTATCTGGCTTTCTATCTTTTTGGTCGGGAATATATGCTAACAATATAGGCATCATAGAAACTGAAAATCGAATGCGGATTGTATCAGCTTGGGATGGCTATGTCTGATAACTACCGTATCTATTTGCACAATAAAAGTGTTTGTTTTGCATTGCACTGTTTACCTATTCTTGGCACTATTGTGGCCCGTGAACAATGCAAAAATAATTTTGTGGCCCGCGAAGCGGACAACCTTGGACTACCCTGGTATAGACTATAGTTATACCTTATAACAGTATAATGTTTGCATTGGAATTGAACCCACTTTCAAGGATTGCTTACAGCTTGCTGTTAATCAATTGTGTACATGCATGTTCGTCTTGCCATACAGTCGTTGGATAGTGTTATTGGTATTGGTTAATCAGTAATTCCAACTGCTGAATTGTGAGTATTGTTAGCACTGCCAGTACAGGTACCAAAATAGTATAATACAGTATGGTAATAGCCTAAATTAAACATTGTTGTTATTGTACAGTGGTAAATACTATATCTGATGGATAATGAAATATGGTTGACATTACCTCACCATATTCTTGTTCAAATTTTCTCTTGTCTGTCACAAAATGATCGATTGACACTCAGTCTTGTCTGCAAGTCATGGGCAGAAGTATTCCATGACTCACAACTTTGGAGCCATTTTGTTTTCAAATTTGATACGAACAACGATGCAGAAGGAAAAGCATTAGTTTGTGCGGAACGATACAATAACGAATTGAAGGATGTTGAACTTCTTGTTAACCAATCTCAGGAAGTAAGTCGCAAACGAGCCGTTGCAGTGGTGGATAGTTTAATTGAAGTTGAATTATGGAAATTAACTAGATTCAAGTTTGGATTCACTGGTGAGAATCCATTATGTTTCAATGGAAATTATATTTTAGATAAAGTCAAGGATTTATTGAGATCAATCAAAGACAAGGACGTCGCTTTCGATCTCAGAGTAATCGATCTATCACGGATGAATATTGCACTAGATGATAGCATGTTAAATATATTATCAGAATTGCACTTGGGCCTACGAGTGGTTCATATTCAAAATTACTGTCTTGTGGATAACATAACAGCTGAAGGTGTATTGAAATTGGTAAAATCATGCAAAAGGATTGAAGAGTTGTATGCATTTTTTCATTGTATCACTGATGATGTCATAGATGTGTTATCAAATAATGTTGGTAGAGCAACTCTAAATGTCCTTTCACTCATGTGCAATAGAAGTGATAAATATACAAGTATGGTATCGTCTGATGCTTGGGCATCATTGAAGAAATCTAATCCTGACTTAGAGCTAATCATGAAGTTTCATAGTACAATGCCACGTCATATGATCAATCCAATATTGTGCCACCCAATTCCTGTGACAAAAATCGATCTTCACATATATTGCTGGCTTGATGAAGAAGTTCAACACATTGCCGATGTGTGCAACACTACACTGCGTTCGCTTAGCTGCTATACAAGTTTAGATCCAAATGACAAGGCTAATGAAGCATTGCCTCCAGCTCTTCTGCAGTTAGCGTCAAGGTGTGATAAACTTACAGAACTGCACTGCCATTGTATTTTACCTCAGGATACCATTGATCAAATCAATACTATGTGTGACTTGAACTTTTCTACTTTGTACAGTTCTCGTATTTTCGACTAAATTTTTTTTTATTTTAATTTCATGAAATGCAGCATAATTTTTGAAGTGTTGAAATCGTAGTTTACTGTGAACTAGTATTTTATACATGAATTTGAAACCTGCTTAATGCACTTTACAAAACCTGAATCAGTATACGCAATATTATATGATTTTTCTTCACATTTTTATTAAGTGCCTTTTTGTAAATTGTTGCATGCAATTATGTATTTTATCATGTATCATATGAACAAAAAATGTTCCATTTTTATTCTATTTCTAAGTAACTACTTTAATTTCGAATTGCTATCAGGGATGGTCAAAACTGCATATTAACTAGTGTGTACACATTTTGAAAGAGAATATTTGAATATTTCAAATTTGGTCCTGTTCAGCATTCAACAAGTTTTTGCTTATTTATAATGGTATTATTTATGGTAGCAGCTGAGATTGGTTTGATATTCATTTTCTACTATAAATGAAAATTAAATGATTTGTTCAATTGTCAGATATTAATGTGTTAAATTTTCGAAAAATGTTAATATTTCCATTAGTCACATTTTAAAATTAATTTTTAATATAATATGTTTTGTCTGTTCTTTAATCAATCACAATCATATAGGAGATGTTTCAATCTATTTTTCACCGATGTGGACGTGGTAGTGAAATTCAGGGTCTTGACAATAGCGAGTGATGCTTCTTATTTTCTTATACCAATCATATCGTTGGCATTATGTGTCCAAACCAGGGCTTATATTTAACTGCCAAAGGATATAGGATCAATCAATATATCAAAGACGATCTTTAGCAAAAAAACAATCAACTGCTTTTGCTTATAATTGATACACAGATTTGGCTAATTCAAAATCGACTTTATAGTAATAAAATGCTCAATTCATCATAAAATATTGCTTACTGTGTACTGATGACATCGAGATTCTGACCCTCATGAATCGTATTACAAAACTTTAAACGTATGGAGTTTCGGATTGTGAAATATAGGAGCATAAATAAAACTGCATTTATGTCAGTATACACTCCGACACTAAAACTGAGGATTTCTGTTAGACCCGAGATATTTTCAGAAAAACGGACAATAATACTAGATAGCGATCGGAGACGCGGACTTATCGATCTGCGTGTAACCAAAATACCTAAACGCTCCACATCGCAGACTGTGCATTGTTACACACACGATCGTTTGCAACGACGAAAGGTAAGGGTCCCCCAAAACAGAAACTGCGGTTTCGATTCCTTCGCTCTGACTCAATAACGACACTGTGTGTCCCATCACTGATTAGTTAATAACTCGCTAATTATACGACATAATTCATCCAATATCAATAGGCTTCTGGTCCGATATTATGAATGCACGTGCAAAATTTGGAGCAGATTCAACCTCGCCTTCGTGAGATATCGCATTCATCTAACATACAGACAAATACCTATCAACATACTTACCGATCTTAAGATCGATAAGTAACAATATAAGTGTCGGCAGTCCGCGTAGTCAAAGTTTTAGTTTAGTTCGGGCTCGTTCAACTGTATATCGTGATGATTATCGCTAACTCGTCGTCGTCATCATCAGTGGCGTAGCATCCACCCCCGCGGTCGGGGGGGGGGGGGCAAGCGGTTAGAATTTAGAAATGTAAGCCGCAAAACCAAAAGCTGCATTGCAAAACCAGTAATGCACATCTAATTATAATGTTGATTTTAATTCTGCTCAAATCGTATTGTTACGTAATAATGCCGGAGTCGTCGATTTTCGGCGTCATAGTGTTTGATCTAGAGATGTATCGGTATCGGTTAGATTAAAGCCGATATTTCCGATGTATTTATCTTTTTGATATGATCCAGAAGGTTTTAAAAGATAAGTTGGAATACTACTTTTGAATTTATTTTTTTGTCTGGAGAGATCGTGAGCTATGAGCCATACATGTCCCCACCCCTGCGAGAGAATAGGGTGCATGTGTTTTTAGCTATTTATCAGCCAAACTAGCCCAACTAATTTGGCTATTTTCGCTGTCAACTTATTGACATTTATAATATTACATAGTAATTATGAAGAAATATATCAACACAGCACATAACAAAAAGCAACTAGGCGCCCAGTTTTAAATCGTACAGTGGAATTGGGGTCCTTATTAACGGCACATGGACTTTTGGCACGGGTATAAATTCTGACTGTTTGTCGTCAAGTGTAGCCAATTAGTTGTTATGTAACTACAAAACTACACCAAATTGGCCCAATTCGTGAGAAACTCATGAAAACCAAAATTAATTATTCCCGTTATAGCAATTATCAATTTCTCAAAATCCAATTTCAAGATTTAATAGCCTTTCGGTGCCATCCCATGTAAAAATAAAATTTATTTCCAGTAATATTCCAATAACGTGAATTCGAAATATCTTGTTAAAACCAAATTATCCACTTGAGAACAATTTTTTACATCTCATAATTGGAGTAAGTACGTGACCAGGAACACGGTGACTTGGCAATAACAAGTTAATTGCTAGTGATGAACTTCAAGAAAACACTTTTAATAATGTTTGATTATAGTGAACCGAAAGCTAACCAGAAACCGGAATGACGCGTAATTCTTTAATCGTTAATGTAAAAATCTGTTTCTTTATTCTATTTTAATTGCTTGGTAGAAAGCTATATATTCAGCAATGTGTTTTGTGTTAATCAGACTAGATTTGATCAAATTGTGTGTACATTGTATTTCTGTATATATTGTCGGAATTGCAATAAACTCATAAGGTGTTTTCAAACGTCTCCTTACTACAGCCGAAGGCTATCGACAGATAGACAGTTCGAGTTAACGAACGCAAGACAAAACTATTGTCAGTCAATGCTGGGGTTATAATACATAAACCAGACCAATCTACAAACAACCTATGTGTAGTGGTAACTAATCACTACATTTGGAGATCCCGACCTTTGGACTGCCTTCTGACGCAGATCAATCACGGAGCAGACAACAATCCTACGGAGCCAGCCTACGGAGAGGAACTCGATAAGATAAGTTTCACGTTTTAATTTACATCCTATAAGTCGCAACTAAGGGTGCCTATTGCTAATCATACAATTCTCTATCTTCCAACAGGCCTATCGCAAAAACTCGAGGAACCGTGCAACAAAACCAAACAAAGGATCAAACTCATCCATACAGTGAACGAAAAGGACATTTCACATCGCCCAAGGCAATATTGACTGTCTGACCTCGGAATTGAAGTATAATTCCTCAGCCGAATTTTGAACGAGGAAACTAATAGCAATCAACAAGGTTCAGGATCAATACAATCAAGGACTCGACACGGAAGGACAACTAGACCGCCCCAGAGAGACGATTATGTTTACTATTAAGTGCCTCGCAATCTGTATGTATCTTTTTGTTTATTCGTCTAGTCTGCCATTTAAATCTGCTTTACCAACTCCAACAGTTACAGTAAACCTATGCCACCCCAATAGACCCAAAGCTGAATACTTTATTCAGAAGCCCAATAATTGTACTAAGGAGACACCCCAAACCATTAAGCAATGCTCTGTTACGGTACATGAATTATCTTCTAGCTATACAAATATTACTTTATATGTATGTCAGAAATCTGCTACTAAATGGTCTAGTCATTATTTTTTCTTTGGTGCACATTCGAGTAAACTGACTTCTACCATGATAGAACCACCCACCCCTTTATATTGTGAAGATTGGGTACACACGTTAAAAGCTGATAATATTGTAGATTTAGAACCCACTTCCCCAGATACTTGGTCCACTCAAAACAAGGCAAAAGTTACTTATAGTTGGCCATCCTCTAGACACGGACAAGTGATCAATGCTCATTTGTCTCGTATTCAAATTTCGTATGATCCTTTTCATGGGGTAATGTTAGGTGCTTTCCCTTCAATTTCCACCTGCAACATATTAACTGGGTCATGCACGTTAGGAAGTCAAACTTTAATTTGGAAACACCACCCTTTAATTGATTGCCCTCAATACCAAACAACTGTTACTGAACTTATTTTACATTATAATTCTTCTAATCAGATTTACCGCTTAGATTTTCCAAAACTTGGGCAATCAATCCATAACTGGGGTTCATGTGGCAAGTCAGTTAAAAGATGTTTTAAGTCTGATACTTTTTGTACCAATAATGGTTTGTTATTCGAAACGCAACAATGCATTGCACTTGATGGTTCATCCCTTTTTACTCTTAAATATCCCGCCTTTAATTACGATTATACTGTAAAGAATTTTTCAGAATCTTCTCCTCTAATTGGGTTTATTCAAGAAAGCACTGATAGGGTTTCCGAGGTAATAAACAAATTGACAGCAGATATTAATTATTTGGAATGCCAAATTGAAAGCATTCTAACCACTAATATTAAACTCCTGTCTAAACAATACCCCGGTAAGATCCTAAGTCAGTTACTAGGTGGGAACAGAGCAGCTATCACCGTGGGTGATATATTGACCGAAATTGAATGCCAACGTATTAACGTTACCGTTCTTAGGAACCTCTTTTTACAGGGTAAATATGCTACCCGACCTTTAGTGCACTTTATTAATAATAGCAATGAAACGATCATTGCACAAATATTCCCTGATTCTAACGCTTATGTGGGTATTCATTTTTTTGAAAATTATACGCCTGGTCGTATATTTACGTTTCAAATTGACGGTCGGTTCTATAACTACGTCAATTATACTTTGAATCATGCGGATATGCATGTAAAATTTCTGAGACCCACATTCAAGCCTTTTGTCGACAATTTTAATCCTATCGATTACAACGAAGCATATAACGAATTACCAAGGGGACACCAGGGTTATGATGATATTAATAATATGTTATTATCAATCAGCCACATTAACCTTATTCGAGAACGAATATTAAGTGAGCAAACCCTACCTAATGCAGATAGCACATCAGACACTGATACTGATGCTATCTCACATGAAGTGCAAGACACTTTTGTTCATGCCCTCTCCTTCATTAAGACGTCAATTTTATCAGGAATTTATATGCTCTTATTCCATTTATCTCTCATTTGGGCCACTATTTGGACCGTTTGTTTTATCAAGAAACTTTGCCCAAAACTGAGAGATGAAGGATTTCCTAGAATACAACGGCTTCGGCAATACTTGGCTGCTCGCAGGGAACAAGTGAACCCTGTTGAACCACCTCAACCTCTTGTGCAAAACAATAGACAAGATCAGGGGGGTCGAATCTATCAATCCAGACCAAATTCCAATAATAGATCCAATTCGAACTTATACCCTAGTCTGGCAGACTAGTCGAATAGCAATGCTCATATTGTACATATATATTATACTTTAACATGATTTCTTTCTAACAAGTGTTTTACGAAGAATTAAATACTTCGTGCATTTACATCAATACCTATACCAATAATATACCTCATGTATAACTATCTCAGGAATACCTATATTTAATCTATCTTTATACAGCTTAAAATTTATTTTTTATTTTTAGTTGAATTTCATGAAAACAGCACGTCATTTCCGCCTTCTCAACCCAAATTGCATCCTTAGAATTCTCCGAACTCCTGCGGGGGAGTTATGTAGCCAATTAGTTGTTATGTAACTACAAAACTACACCAAATTGGCCCAATTCGTGAGAAACTCATGAAAACCAAAATTAATTATTCCCGTTATAGCAATTATCAATTTCTCAAAATCCAATTTCAAGATTTAATAGCCTTTCGGTGCCATCCCATGTAAAAATAAAATTTATTTCCAGTAATATTCCAATAACGTGAATTCGAAATATCTTGTTAAAACCAAATTATCCACTTGAGAACAATTTTTTACATCTCATAATTGGAGTAAGTACGTGACCAGGAACACGGTGACTTGGCAATAACAAGTTAATTGCTAGTGATGAACTTCAAGAAAACACTTTTAATAATGTTTGATTATAGTGAACCGAAAGCTAACCAGAAACCGGAATGACGCGTAATTCTTTAATCGTTAATGTAAAAATCTGTTTCTTTATTCTATTTTAATTGCTTGGTAGAAAGCTATATATTCAGCAATGTGTTTTGTGTTAATCAGACTAGATTTGATCAAATTGTGTGTACATTGTATTTCTGTATATATTGTCGGAATTGCAATAAACTCATAAGGTGTTTTCAAACGTCTCCTTACTACAGCCGAAGGCTATCGACAGATAGACAGTTCGAGTTAACGAACGCAAGACAAAACTATTGTCAGTCAATGCTGGGGTTATAATACATAAACCAGACCAATCTACAAACAACCTATGTGTAGTGGTAACTAATCACTACATTTGGAGATCCCGACCTTTGGACTGCCTTCTGACGCAGATCAATCACGGAGCAGACAACAATCCTACGGAGCCAGCCTACGGAGAGGAACTCGATAAGATAAGTTTCACGTTTTAATTTACATCCTATAAGTCGCAACTAAGGGTGCCTATTGCTAATCATACAATTCTCTATCTTCCAACAGGCCTATCGCAAAAACTCGAGGAACCGTGCAACAAAACCAAACAAAGGATCAAACTCATCCATACAGTGAACGAAAAGGACATTTCACATCGCCCAAGGCAATATTGACTGTCTGACCTCGGAATTGAAGTATAATTCCTCAGCCGAATTTTGAACGAGGAAACTAATAGCAATCAACAAGGTTCAGGATCAATACAATCAAGGACTCGACACGGAAGGACAACTAGACCGCCCCAGAGAGACGATTATGTTTACTATTAAGTGCCTCGCAATCTGTATGTATCTTTTTGTTTATTCGTCTAGTCTGCCATTTAAATCTGCTTTACCAACTCCAACAGTTACAGTAAACCTATGCCACCCCAATAGACCCAAAGCTGAATACTTTATTCAGAAGCCCAATAATTGTACTAAGGAGACACCCCAAACCATTAAGCAATGCTCTGTTACGGTACATGAATTATCTTCTAGCTATACAAATATTACTTTATATGTATGTCAGAAATCTGCTACTAAATGGTCTAGTCATTATTTTTTCTTTGGTGCACATTCGAGTAAACTGACTTCTACCATGATAGAACCACCCACCCCTTTATATTGTGAAGATTGGGTACACACGTTAAAAGCTGATAATATTGTAGATTTAGAACCCACTTCCCCAGATACTTGGTCCACTCAAAACAAGGCAAAAGTTACTTATAGTTGGCCATCCTCTAGACACGGACAAGTGATCAATGCTCATTTGTCTCGTATTCAAATTTCGTATGATCCTTTTCATGGGGTAATGTTAGGTGCTTTCCCTTCAATTTCCACCTGCAACATATTAACTGGGTCATGCACGTTAGGAAGTCAAACTTTAATTTGGAAACACCACCCTTTAATTGATTGCCCTCAATACCAAACAACTGTTACTGAACTTATTTTACATTATAATTCTTCTAATCAGATTTACCGCTTAGATTTTCCAAAACTTGGGCAATCAATCCATAACTGGGGTTCATGTGGCAAGTCAGTTAAAAGATGTTTTAAGTCTGATACTTTTTGTACCAATAATGGTTTGTTATTCGAAACGCAACAATGCATTGCACTTGATGGTTCATCCCTTTTTACTCTTAAATATCCCGCCTTTAATTACGATTATACTGTAAAGAATTTTTCAGAATCTTCTCCTCTAATTGGGTTTATTCAAGAAAGCACTGATAGGGTTTCCGAGGTAATAAACAAATTGACAGCAGATATTAATTATTTGGAATGCCAAATTGAAAGCATTCTAACCACTAATATTAAACTCCTGTCTAAACAATACCCCGGTAAGATCCTAAGTCAGTTACTAGGTGGGAACAGAGCAGCTATCACCGTGGGTGATATATTGACCGAAATTGAATGCCAACGTATTAACGTTACCGTTCTTAGGAACCTCTTTTTACAGGGTAAATATGCTACCCGACCTTTAGTGCACTTTATTAATAATAGCAATGAAACGATCATTGCACAAATATTCCCTGATTCTAACGCTTATGTGGGTATTCATTTTTTTGAAAATTATACGCCTGGTCGTATATTTACGTTTCAAATTGACGGTCGGTTCTATAACTACGTCAATTATACTTTGAATCATGCGGATATGCATGTAAAATTTCTGAGACCCACATTCAAGCCTTTTGTCGACAATTTTAATCCTATCGATTACAACGAAGCATATAACGAATTACCAAGGGGACACCAGGGTTATGATGATATTAATAATATGTTATTATCAATCAGCCACATTAACCTTATTCGAGAACGAATATTAAGTGAGCAAACCCTACCTAATGCAGATAGCACATCAGACACTGATACTGATGCTATCTCACATGAAGTGCAAGACACTTTTGTTCATGCCCTCTCCTTCATTAAGACGTCAATTTTATCAGGAATTTATATGCTCTTATTCCATTTATCTCTCATTTGGGCCACTATTTGGACCGTTTGTTTTATCAAGAAACTTTGCCCAAAACTGAGAGATGAAGGATTTCCTAGAATACAACGGCTTCGGCAATACTTGGCTGCTCGCAGGGAACAAGTGAACCCTGTTGAACCACCTCAACCTCTTGTGCAAAACAATAGACAAGATCAGGGGGGTCGAATCTATCAATCCAGACCAAATTCCAATAATAGATCCAATTCGAACTTATACCCTAGTCTGGCAGACTAGTCGAATAGCAATGCTCATATTGTACATATATATTATACTTTAACATGATTTCTTTCTAACAAGTGTTTTACGAAGAATTAAATACTTCGTGCATTTACATCAATACCTATACCAATAATATACCTCATGTATAACTATCTCAGGAATACCTATATTTAATCTATCTTTATACAGCTTAAAATTTATTTTTTATTTTTAGTTGAATTTCATGAAAACAGCACGTCATTTCCGCCTTCTCAACCCAAATTGCATCCTTAGAATTCTCCGAACTCCTGCGGGGGAGTTATGTAGCCAATTAGTTGTTATGTAACTACAAAACTACACCAAATTGGCCCAATTCGTGAGAAACTCATGAAAACCAAAATTAATTATTCCCGTTATAGCAATTATCAATTTCTCAAAATCCAATTTCAAGATTTAATAGCCTTTCGGTGCCATCCCATGTAAAAATAAAATTTATTTCCAGTAATATTCCAATAACGTGAATTCGAAATATCTTGTTAAAACCAAATTATCCACTTGAGAACAATTTTTTACATCTCATAATTGGAGTAAGTACGTGACCAGGAACACGGTGACTTGGCAATAACAAGTTAATTGCTAGTGATGAACTTCAAGAAAACACTTTTAATAATGTTTGATTATAGTGAACCGAAAGCTAACCAGAAACCGGAATGACGCGTAATTCTTTAATCGTTAATGTAAAAATCTGTTTCTTTATTCTATTTTAATTGCTTGGTAGAAAGCTATATATTCAGCAATGTGTTTTGTGTTAATCAGACTAGATTTGATCAAATTGTGTGTACATTGTATTTCTGTATATATTGTCGGAATTGCAATAAACTCATAAGGTGTTTTCAAACGTCTCCTTACTACAGCCGAAGGCTATCGACAGATAGACAGTTCGAGTTAACGAACGCAAGACAAAACTATTGTCAGTCAATGCTGGGGTTATAATACATAAACCAGACCAATCTACAAACAACCTATGTGTAGTGGTAACTAATCACTATACAAGTACGAGTGTCATTTAGTCCGTCGATATCGATAAACTAAATTCCGACACAATTATCCCTCTACGCAGGTATTAATTTTAATTTTGTTTAACTACACAATATCTTTATAGATATATTGACATGACCGCCTAGCCTTAGACTGTCTCAAAATATATGATGGCAATTGTATAATAATATAAAATAGTAAAGTAAAAAAACGTCCTCGACGGTTATAGGTAGACCTTCTTTTGGTCGTTGCTGATTGATATTCTTTCATGTTGGCTCTGACTTATCGCTTCGACGATTTCGATTAGCCACGAAATAAAATGCTTTTAATTTGAACGTAGGACGGCGGCGCTAGGATGTGTGGGTGATATTCGATATTCTTTTAAACACGAATAACAATATTCGAAGGTCGCGATATTAACAATAAATTCAAATTGGACATCCCGGCTTATGAGTTTTCTAATTGAACACCGAGATTACTAGCGTTACCGTACAATGTATCTTAATCAGTTAAAGCATATGTATACCAAACATTAATTTCATATTATGTGATATATCTTTTTTTTTTCGATCTGAAATAATGTGTACTATGAACAACGCTCAAAAAACCATTGTTTTAACCCGCCTGCCTTACACAGCACAACTAATTAAGTAATAATTACATAGTATCGGCATCGGAAAATCGGCCTTATTGTAGTATCGGCGTATCGGTATCGGCGTTTTTAGCTAGTATCGGTATCGACGACAAAAGTGGTATCGGTACATCTCTAGTTTGATCGTACTGGCACAATTACGAAAGCTGTCAGAATGATGTCGAAAGCAAAAGCTCTCAGTGGCGCACAGAAACGAAGAAAAAAGGCAGAAGAGGAAGAACGTATGAAAAAAATCAAAGTAACAAAGATAAACGAAATGTTTAAACCAAAATTGAAACAAGTAGACTTGGGAATACCGAACGTAACTGAGGAGGAATTAGGCCTAGCACCGGTAGTATCGGTAGAAAACCAGATACGTGTTCAATCTCCAAAAGTGATGGCGGCGGCGCGAATGAATTTTCTTCCAAAACTTACACGACAATTATAACAGGTAATCTACTGATTTTTGAAGCAAATTGAAAAAATTAATATGACGAAGATGTTGGATGAGTTTGCTAACGCGAAAGCACGAAAGCGCAAATTTTAGAGAGTCTTGCTACGCCACTGGTCATCATTACTGTGTTGTTTTTTTCTTGCATTCGACGTGTCGCATTCTTCTCTTTCACGTGTTATTGTTTTACGTATTCATTTTATTATCGTCCATCTAAGCTCAGCAAGATGTTTAGGTTTGCATTTCCGGTGGTAGCAGTTTATGGTTTGAATTCATTTAGTAGTCTCCGTTGATAACGTCCTTTTGTACTTGATTTAGAATCGTTCGATATAACATTATATTTGCATGTCTACAGCTCGTATTGTATTGCATTTATAGTTATTGTTTTATCTTGGTTATATCTGTCATTTTGGGACTATGCTGTTATATGGAGTTGTTTTGTGTAAGTATTAGTTTTATATTCTGTATCATTTGTCTTTGACTTATTCGGTGCTAATTATTTCATTTATATTCTAGTCAACCGTTTTGAATATTCTCAATAAAACGAGTCTAGCAAGTCGACTTATCATTTCCGGGTCCCAAAAGTGACAAAGTTGAACAAACTCCTTGCGACGACGATGAACGAAGCAGATGAATCAATTACACAAGATTTGAATAGACGAGAAGCTTCTTCTTCAACCGCAGTTCCTCTCGCGGAAACAGACGACGGTAACTCTGAAACTACTGGACGCAATGTATTATGCCACGAAAGAGTCCTACTACAAAATGAACTAAATGGTTTGTGCGACAAGATTTATAAATCGATTAATGAAAATGCTCAGAATTCTATCATCCCTGATCTAAAAATTCAACTTCATGTTAAACGAATTGCTTATGATCAAGTGATGGAAAAACTCATTCCGACTACTCGTAATCCAACTGTTCTGAAGAAATATGAATCTGGTATGCAAAGGATGTCATCGAAAATCGAACAAATTGAAAGTAAACTTAATTCTTATCTTGACGAGGATATCGTTTCTGATCACGGGTCTGTCGAATCAGATGCAAGCAAGTGCAGTGTTGAATCACTGAAGCGATTGCAACTTGAGCAAGAACAAGAGGTAGAGTGAGCTGATTCTCTTGTACGCGTGGCTAAACGAGACTTTCTCACAGAAGAAGATTCTATTCGCAATAAAATATCAGCACGGGAGCATCGCCTTGATATCAAACGTCGAGACATAAACGAAAAAAAACGAATGGCAGATCTAACACGTCGCCAAGCTGACGAACTTATGCGTGAAATTGAACAAGGAAAGACTGAATTCGCTACCAAGATTATGCCTAAAGATAACTGCCGTGGCGTCGATATTGAATATCCGTTGGAGTCAACACGCAGACGAAGTGCAGCGCTGCACTTTTTTGTTCCGACCAAGAGTCAAGTGACAACAGATTCAGAAAAGACCAAAGAATTTCACTTCCCGACAGCAAGAACTTACAAACGCCCGTCTCCTGCAAATAGAATGCTTTTACCACAAGAAGCAGTTGACGCGTGGATTGACCACTTGGAACCAAACCAGTCTGGTAAATTTTTGGTAAATTTTCTGGTAATTGTTTTAATATGTCACTAGAGGAACAAACTATGTTGTCATTACAGTTGAATTCTAGAATATTGTCCCAGCACCATTTATCACCGATTACGATTCCTAATTTTGGCGGAACGCCCCTAGAATGGCCAAATTATATTGAGTTATTTTTTGATAATGTACACAGTTGTCTCGACGACGACGGTTCGCGTATGGTTCGCTTAGTCGCGTCCTTGACGGGGGTGGCGAAACGTAACGTCGAGGGCTTAAGCACGGTGGGAAGTAATTATATTGTCGCGTTGAGTGAATTGAAACATAAGTTTGGCCAACCGACGATCGCTCGGGCTTTTATCGAAAAGGTTGTAGATGGTAGACGAGTAACAGAATTCAATATCCGAAAAATATCCGATTTTCACTCTGAAGTTCGCGACATTGTGATTAGATTGAAGAAAATGCGATTGCTTGCAGATTTGTATAGTATTGGAAATGTTAGAAAGACAGCAATGCGAATTCTGGCAGAACTGGCCTCGAGTTGGAATAAGTTTGTGACTGATATGATTCGAGCGGACGAAATTCCGAGTTTACTTGACTTCGAACAGTGGTTGTGGGAAAGGTGCGAGGAACTAGAAAACCCATTTGCATGCAATGTTTCCACAACTAAAATTATTCGAGACGACCGCGGCCCGTCACTCTCAAAGAGAAAATTTGACTATCCTCAATCAAATCACCCGCTCCATCAACCGCAAAAACGTTGTTGCTTCTGCAATGGTATAACCTACATTCTCTTAATTTTTGTGACAGCTTCAAGTTCAGTTCCAATGATGTAAAACGAAGATTTCTACTAAATTCACGCCTATGTTTCAATTGTCTCGAACCCAGACATTTAGTCTTTTCGTGCAGATTTCATAATACTTGTCGCGTTTGTTCTGGTAAGCATCATTCAGTGATCCATGGCCTGAGGATCTTTACTAGCAAATCGAATGATAACAGTCAGCCCAATGTCTCTACTCGTACAAACAGCGTTGCCAATGCACATGTTTCAGGCGTTAATGCTGGTGTTCAGTTTCAGCTTTTGCAAGTTGTAGTAGAAGGCCCGTTGGCCTCCTCTGAATACGCTATCGCTGTGCTAGACTCTGCCAGTCAGATCTCAATTATACATCCCGAATTGAAACAAAGACATGGTCTAAATGGAAATCGTACCCGTGTTACCATTGACACTTTGTGTAGCAAAGGCGTTTCGCAAGAGGCGGAAGTGATAAAATTGTCGGTAAAATCTGCTTATGACGAAAGTGGTCAAATATTGGAGTTAAACAACGTGTTTGTAGTCGATTCACGCATACCACATCCGGCTAGAATGCTAAAAAGAGACCAATATATGCCTCACATGCAAGCCATTCCGTTGATCGATATTGAGGCGAATCAAGCTATGATTTTAATCGGGGCCGATAATCCCATGGCGCATTTCCAGCTCGAACGTAAGGTGGGCCAAAATCATGAACCAGTGGGAATTAAAACTCCTCTCGGTTGGACTTTGATCGGACCCTTAGGCACAAGTATTGACGATGAGGCATTTTCAAATTTAATGTATTGTGATTTACGTGACCGGTATAAAATGTTATCAGAACGAATCGAAGGTGATTGGTCCAGCGAATCCGTAGGCACGACGTACAATTTGTCCCGTAGCAAGTCGTTTAAAGATAGACGAGAAGATATTCTGACGAACAGTAAAATCAAGTTCTTTGACGGTTCTGACGAGTTTGGGTTTATGCGGATTATTGAAAATTTTAAAATGCCACCAAACGAACACGCAGCTCGTGCAGGATTCAAACGACTCAAAGAAAACGAACGATTGGGGAATTTATACCGTGAAGAGATGACTAAGGATATCGGAAAAGAATGGGTGCGCCAGCTAATCTCTGACGAGGAGGCGGCCCGCGGACCTCGAATTTGGCACCGGCTTCATCACGCTGAAAGCCATAACAAGTAAAATAAAATAAATTTTCTGGAAAGACCCACAGCAATAAACGCGGATATAATAGCCACGTTTCATGTGATTCGATTCTTGGAAGATGATATTGATTCTGCACGTTCTTTCTGGTTTAGAGACCTTTTCTCCAGGAAACCCCCAGATGTCTATAAATTATTGGTTCGTATTTTCGGAGATGTTGAGTCGCTTTATGTGAAAAACTTTTGTTGTATGAAGAGAGTTACGTACG